TCAAGTCAGGTTCTTCTTTTCTGAAGCCACCTTAAAGTGAAATCTCCCTACATCACCAAAACAGACAGACAAAACCTAACCAATGCAAGACAACAATTATATTGTATACTTCTGGTTTCATGCTGATTCTTGTTCTATGTGGTACAACATTAGAACTCGCATGTGGCTACACTGGGCTTGTTTTTGTTTGTTTGTTTCATCCCTACTCATACTCTTTGCATTCTTCTTCTTGGGAAACAGCCACAGAAATACGTATCTTTGCAACCTATCGGGCACACCTCTGAGACACATGAAGAGCAACGGTGCTTCTGAGAACTGTGCCTGATCAGCATCTTAGCAGTCCAGCTTTCTGCACATTACACAGAGAAATAACTACAGCTATTTCATGCCTCTTGGAAATCTGTCAGGCAATATCATGTGAGAAAGAAGTTCTCAGAAGCTGAGCATTGCTATGTTGCTTTTGGACAACAACTCCCAGAAACCGTCAGTGGGGGGATTCTGAGAGCTGTAGTTAATTCTATGAAATACAGGTGGTCCAGTTACTCTATCATGACACTGCTGGTATGGAAACATGCTAGTCCCAGTATTTTCACCATCTTTCTTGTGACAACACAAGCCTAGAAATAGGAACCAACATTAGGGGTCTGCTAGGATTCACTCTGCCACATCTTTCTTGAATCAGCCACACAGCTGTACCAGAGGGCAGAAGAGACCACCCCCATTGCACAGTTCCGACCACACCACCAGTAGCAAATCACCACCAATGAAGGTGAGCTACACCTGATTTAAAGTGATTTTGGGGTGCACACAACAAAGTCATGTGCACTCCCAAATCCCCAAAGGAAGCCTTTGGTCAGCAGTGATTTGCCACTGATTATGACATCATCACCAGTGTGCAAGTGGAGCAGTACCACAGGATTTCAGCTGATCCACAGAAGGCCACAGAGCTCACACCACTGCATTTTATCTGAGAAATCTCTCCAGTGCCTATAACATGCAACATATTAATCACAGTGGGAAGCAAGCAAGCCACATCAAGTGAGAGCAAAACTTCTTATTGGTCACCTGGTCACTTTCTAGAGCCATTCTACCAGCTCCTAATCTCCCTATTTACAAATGGAGAGCATTAAAGCACTTAGCAGAATTGCTATGACCACTTAGTAGCCCAGGGGTTCTACCTAAGGCACAACACCAAATACTACTCCCACTTTGGATGCAACACTAACCTATTTGATTGGTCAAGGTGGAAATATCTCATTGCTATGATTACTTAATAGCCCAGGGGTTCTACCTAAGGCAGAACACCAAATACTACTCCCACTTTGGTTGCAACACTAGCCTAGTTATTTGATTGGTCAAGGTGGAAATATCTCACCAGTGTTTCTGCTTGGGAATTCCATTCCAATAATAATAAATGCAACAGGGATTAACTGGAATTTCATGACAGCTCAAATTAGCTTCCCAAATTACTTAATAGCCCAGGGGTTCTACCTAAGGCAGAACACCAAATACTACTCCCACTTTGGTTGCAACACTAGCCTAGTTATTTGATTGGTCAAGGTGGAAATATCTCACCAGTGTTTCTGCTTGGGAATTCCATTCCAATAATAATAAATGCAACAGGGATTAACTGGAATTTCATGACAGCTCAAATTAGCTTCCCAAAGCAACTGCCTCAACTCTGCTTAACAAAAAGACTGGCCCTGTTTAGTTAGCAAGTCCAGATAAACTATCTAAAGATTCTTTGCAATCTCCTTCAGCCACCATTAGTTCCTGTCTTGTCACGACATCTCTCCCTTTATCTACACCTGGTTAGCGGTGTTTTCTTCCCATAATGTGGCGGACGCCTCTCACAAAGAGCAGCTAAGCACAAATAACTGACCCTCTGTGCCAGCTTTCCCAAGCAAAGTTGGTGGGAGAGTTGGCACAAAATCATGCACAGAGCTTGAATTACAACTCTCAGAATACCCCATACTGGCATGGTGTCGTCTAAAGCCAGACCTTTTCTAAGCTCCGCTCCTGAGCCCTGGTACCTCCACAAAATCCTGAACAGAGCTTGAATTACAACTCTCAGAATCCCCCATATTGGCATGGTGTCATCTAAAGCCAGATCTTTCCTAAGCTCCGCTCCTGAGCCCTGGTACCTCTCTTTGTATAAGTAGCATGGACCAACCTACACAACTCAGGGGTAAGAAGCCTCATTACAGTCAATACAGCGAACTCCGGGGGGGGGGAGGTGGATACACTGAACAGAGCTTGAATTACAACTCTCAGAATCCCCCATATTGGCATGGTGTCATCTAAAGCCAGATCTTTCCTAAGCTCCGCTCCTGAGCCCTGGTACCTCTCTTTGTATAAGTAGCATGGACCAACCTACACAACTCAGGGGTAAGAAGCCTCATTACAGTCAATACAGCGAACTCCGGGGGGGGGGAGGTGGATACAGAAACACTGACTGAAGGGCCACCCATCCTCTCCTGTTGGCGAAGTAATAACGGAGATGGGCCATGGAATGTTTAACACTTACACCTTGCAACACGGCTCCCCTCAGCCTCCACCCAACCACATATACCCACACCCTTCACCATAACATGTAAAAATTGACTTCGGCTCTCTTAACTTCAGCAGGCAAAGAAGACAGCAGAGCAGCCAACACCATTTATATGACCCAATAATTGACATTTTCACAAAACAGGCAAGGTTCGGCTAAGACAGCAGCAAAAGCACAAACAAGGCTGGCCCTAACCATTTTGGTAATTCAACACACACACCCTCAAGCTGTATCAAGAGCCAGCATGGTACAGGGGAAAGTATGTTGGACTCGAGAGACCTGGGTTCAAACCTCACTCAGCCATGGAATCTCATGGGGTGTGCATGTCCCACAATGATATGCTACTTCTTAAACATCTCACGCCTTCTCTCTCACAAACCCAAGCACTATTAGGATGGTCATAAATTGAAAGCAACTAGAAGACACATAAAAAACAGCAGCTCCATCACAAGATCCAAGAAGTGCATTTGGCTATAGTCTCCTGACCTAGCAGATGCAGGTGTAAGTCACCAAGCCCAGCCTATTTTTGTCCCTGCTGCAGGAAATCCTAGGGCAAGCTTCTCCGCTGCCGGACATTTTGTTAGCATCCAAAGAAGTCTAGAGGGGTACTTCTCGGTGCTTTTTATGGGACAGCTATTCCCACAGTTGGTGGGGGGCAGCAATTCTTGAGCCTGGCTAGTACTTATGTTAGGGTTGCAAAACCTGTTTGGACTACACACATCCTCCCTCAACAGGAGCCATGCCGTCTGGGGTAGACCGGAGTTAAGCATTCAGCAACCTCTGAAGGGGATTGCCTGCTCCAACCTAGAGATTTTAGGGAGGGCAGCTTGGAGAGAGAAGGTGGTCAGCCCAGCACCACCGTTCTCTAACCCCTGGTCTTCTCCTTCGAAGTTGACAACAATAAGCTAGATTTGGCCCTGAAGGCCTTTGTGGACTCCTGACTGAGGAGACGGAGAGAAGGATGGGGGTCCAAAAGTACTTCCTAGGCCTCCAAGGCTTCCATGACACTTTGGTGGCACAAAACCTGGGGGCTGAGGGTGGCATCAAGTCATGCTGTGGAGGCCTCTGACAGAAAAGGGGGAGGGCAGAACCTCATTTCAGAGTGGCTGAAGGAACCCTTTCTCTTGGACCGCAGAGGCCAATTACAGGGCCCATTTCTCTCCTTCCCTGCCCCAACTTTACATAACATCGACCCTGCCCATTTTGACTGGGCAGACGGAGGCCACAGGCAAGCCTAACGTTGCTGGTACAAATGGACTACAAGGCACTAAAGATCGTGCTGAGATAAAGAATAGATTTTTCCTTTTTTTTGTCAGCCCCAAACTGGTTCCTGTCTAAAGCTTGCCTTTTTTTTCGTTTAACCTCGAAAAATATCTCACGGATCTCGTGGCTTTTCTTCTTTTTCAGGCAGAGGACATCAAAAGCAGAAACGGTCTACAGTATTTAGCATGGGGGAAGAGAAACTCACACCCCCTTTTTTTTTTGCAATCCGTCGCCTCCGCTATGCCGCCCATTTTGTATGCGTTTTGTTTCCTCCGACGCACTTTCCTAAGTTTGCGATGAACCCAGATTCCCCCCCCCCCAAATATAATGCATCCCTATCTTTCGGTTCCCTTAAAGGGAACAGTGGTGCTATCTAGCAAAATCCAGCCTTTCCTCGCCTTACCTTATGCACGGGGTGTGCGTGTGTGTGTGTGTGGATGCGGGTGGGCGGGAGAAAGTTTGATGAAAACGCGATCTGAACTTTCAAGCCCGTGAACTTCTGGAGGGAAAGCGCGGACTCCGCCTGGGCC